TTCCTTTAATTGTCTTCAAGGCAATTTCAAAACAAGTCTTCAAAGTTTGCACTTTTTTTGTTTTAATTCAATTATGGATATTTTTTAGTTCAGAGGAGAGGTGACAGAGGTGTTCTCCAAGTGATCTTGATGCTGAGTGTCTCCTCAGGAGATCCACACTGACCCTGTATGATCAACCTTGCTCCTCACCCCCCAACCTCACCAGTTCTGACATGGCCCATCTTGGACTGACAGCTGATGCGACTCCAAACACACTGTGGGACTCATTAAAACACTGAAAAACAAATTATTTCCATTCCTTTAATTGTCTTCATGTCTTGAAGACTTCTACAGCTAATTGGAATTGTTTTGTAGTTTAGCTAAGGAGGGAGATTTTAAAGTGGAAGTCATGAAAAATATATATTATTTTGATGAAAAGGAATGCAAGAGGGTCAGGGCACAAAGGATTTGGATCCAAAGACAAGGGGGCAAAAGAGATTAGTAGCACTTAATCATTCACCAATTGAGCAGTTTTTAAGTGATTCAATAGCATTTGCTACAATTTACCAGTGACTGAATTAGAGATTCACAAGAACAACATTCACACCACAGTCAATTCACACCCACACCCAGGTAGAGATGTGTGGACACATCAATAGCTGGGTGTGGAAAGGTCCCTCTCCCAAATTCTCCTTGTTGTCAGGGTAACACTCCCACAAATTCCTTTGTGTTTCCCAACAGACAAGGGTCCCAGCTGGAGGAGTGTTTGTTGAGGGGCATCAGAATTGTCCTGGGCATCAGCGACGGTCTTTGGAGTGTTGCAAACTGGAGGGTTCCCGAGCTGCGAGAGGCTGCCAGAGGTGTCCCACTGAGAGGGAGGTGCTGGAGAGATGCCGGGGCCTCCCTCAGCCCCACTGGTTGTGGGCTCCCAAGGGGACTGGCTTTTGTTATCTGCTGAATTTCCATCCTGGTGTCAGGAAAGACTGGAGTTTCCAAAATATTTGGGAATTGTATCTAAACTGTTCCATGATTCAGGTAGGGAATGTTCCAAGGCTTTCAGGGGATGATGCATTATCCTGTGTTCCCCAGCTCTTACACCCATCCCAGTCAGCTGGATGGTTTATTGACAATGTGTCCCGAGGGGCGGGACCTCCGATGCCATAGAAACCCCTCCCCCTGCATTAGGAAACCTTTGGAATTCAGGAGGTGTTCCAGTGGAGCATGAAAATGAACAGCAATTTTCCTAAAGCCAAGAACCCAGCAGAACAAACCAAGGCCACAGCAGGTGCAGAGCAAAGGTCCCCCCATCCCTCTGTGCCCTGTGGCCGCTGAGGCGGCAGCGCAGGCCCGAGGCGGTGCCGGGTCCCGGTGCAGCCGGGGCAGAGCGGCGGCTGCGCGAGCGGCAACCCCGGCGGTGAGTGCGGCAGCCCCGTGGCAGCGGCGGCTCCGGGCACAGATGCCGGCGGCAGCCGCTGTGGCGGCGGAGCAGCGACTCCGAGGCGCTGCAGGAGCGCTGGCTCCGCTTCCAGGCGCCGGCAGTGTTGGGAAGCCGGTGCCGGGCGGCTGCGGGGCAGCGCAGGCCAAAAGCGGCAGCGGCGGCAGCCTCGTGGCAGCGGCGGCTCCGGGCAGACACGGCCCCGCTCCAGCGCTGCCGCCTCAGCGGCGCTCAGGGGACGGCGCGGCGGCTCCGGGGGCAGTGGCCGGGGACTCCCTCTCGGGGCAGCCCCGGGCACCAAAGAGGACCAGGGCCCGGTGTGTTCTCAGCTTGGTTCTCTGCAGTTCTCCCGGCATCTGAGCACAGGATGGGATGGGGAAATTGAGCTAAACCAGAACAGGAGCTCATGGAACCAAGTGGCCATTGGGACACTGCAGGGCCTCCTGGAATCCAGGGGCTGGTGGGACACTGGGGAGCCTCTTGGAGCCAAGGGAAGCCCGGGATATTCTGGAACATCGTGGAATCAAGGAGCCAGTGTGACACTGCAGGGCCTTGAGGGACCAAAGGAATCCTGGGCCATAGTGGAAACTCATGAAATCATCAGGGCCGTTGTGACACTCCAGAACCTCATGGAACCAAGGGTCCATTGTGACACTGAGAGGCCTCATTGAACCAAAGGAACCCTGAGAGGTTTTGCAACCTCATGGAATTAAGGGGCCATTTCTGGCAGGATGCTCTGCTCTGACATAACCTAAACAATGGTCAGAGAATGCAAACAATGCAAGCTCTCTGTGGTGAGTTGCTGCTGGTGTCAAGGTGCTGTTTTTAATGTTGAATTATGCTAAACCCAAAATGCTTCATGAAACTTCAAACACACATCCTGCTTTTTGAAGCAGGATTTGACAGATAAGCTGCTCCCTGGCCTGCAAATATGTCTGCCAGTCAAACCCTTGATAACTATAAAAGCCCCATCCAACTTCCATGTGGCAGATTCTTCCACAGATTTCCTTGAAGTGTGTGGAGCTTCTGCCATGAAGCAGGGACATCTCTTCATGGTCACTGCCCAGGGGTTAAGTGAAAGAGAGACAACTACCCCCTGTGGTTGTGGGGTGAGTTACCTCAATCTCTGCTTCAGGATTGTTTCTTTTTGCTGGCTTTGAGACAATTGCTTCCCTTCCTGAACTGTAGCCCAAATGGAACAGTCTGGATACAATTCCCAAATATTTTTAAAACTCCAGTCATTACTGACACGAGGATAGAAATTCAGCAGATAACTAAAGCCAGTCACCTTGTGAGCCCACAACCTGCTCCATGGCCTTCCCCGGTCCTGAGGTCAATGGGACAGGCCAGGAGTTCCCCAGATGCTCCTTTTGGCCCTTCCTGGGGATGGGCATCCCATTGGCTTGTTGCCAGTCAGCTGGGACTTGTGCAGTTCTGCAGCACTGCTGGGGAAGGAGTGAGAGTGGCTTGGCCAGCTCTTTCTCCAGCTCCCTCAGGACTCTTGGCTGCATCCCATGTGGGCCCAGGCACTTGTGGGGGTCTCACTGTCAGAGCAGGTCACTGACCATTTCCTCCTGGATTGTGGGGGCTTCACTCAGCTCCCCATCAGCAGCTTCCAGCCAAAGCCTGCCTGCCAGGTGTCCAAGGGGTCAGTTCTGCTGCCCCCTCCTTCCTTCCCCCACAATGGAAAACTCCCTCATTTTCTGTCCCTGTGCCCCAGACGGCTCCGACCACCACCTCCCCCACCAGTCCCACAATCAGGGAATGTTTTGGCTTGGGAGGGTCCTTAAAGAGCATCTCAGCATCCTCAGAGTCAAGAATTCCTTGCTATTATCTCCTGGAACCCTTCCCTCTATCCGTGTGAAGCCACTGAACCTCATCCTGTCTCTCCAGACCCTTGTCCAAAGTCTCTCTCCATCTTTCTTGTTGGCTCCCTTCAGGCACTGCAAGGCCACAATTAGGTCACCCCAAAGCCTTCTCTTCTCCAGCGTGAACAATCCAAATTTTCTCAGCCCTGACATATTTCTGAACCTCCCAGAATCCAGGGGCCATTGGGACCCTGCAGAACCTCCTGGATTCAAATGGTCCTTGTGAAACTGCAGGCTCTCCTGGAACCCAAGGATTCCTGGAACACTGCAGAGCTCACGGAACCAAGGGGCCACTGTCCCACTGCAGCTTCTTCTGAAGCACAAGGGACCCTGGGACAGTGGGAAATCTCTGAGAATCCAAAGGGCATTTTGGGACTGCAGGGCCTCATGGAACTAAAGGAACCTTTGGAGACTGTGGAAGCTCATGGAAGCAAGGGGCCATTGTAACGTGGGGCCTCCTTTAACCAAAGGAACCCTGAGAATTTCTGTGGGAACAAGGTTAAGGCAGCAACAGCTGTGTTCAGTTAATCAGGATCAACAAGGAGTGTTTTGGCCTTGACTTGTGTTTTCCATCCAGAGAGTGCTGTTTGCCAAAGTGGAAACCACTTGGAACGCTCTGCATGGTAGCCTGTGTTTTTCTCTGGTGGCTGAACACAGCCAGCACATGAGGGGAGGGGAATGTGTGGGATCAGGGCACTGCTTTGGGGCCATGCTGGGAATTCCAGTGGACTAAAAGACAAAGCCCAGGTGCTGTTTCCAAAGGAACCCCAATGAAAAGGGGACGCCAGAAAGTTGGGCGGAGAAGTCCCACAATTGAACTCTGTGTGTGCAGCCTCATTTTCTCCTTCAGCACCCACAGGAGAGGGGAGAGAAGTGGGGGTTGGGACCCCAAAACTGTTCGGGGGGGGGAAATTGGGGATTGAGGGGACAATGGGAAAGTGGGAGGAACAGGGAGAAGGGTGGAAAAGGGAGGGTGGTCTGCTGGGTCCGACGGTCCCATGGGGATCTTTGGACACCGGAAGGTTGGAAAAGAGGAGGGGGGGCCCTGAGCTCCCAACTTACTGTGGGATGCTGGAAGCTGCTGGATCTAATCTCAGCCTTGGATTATGCCAACACTTTCAGTTTAGAGGAATTACAGAGGTGTGACTGAACCACTTTTGTCCCCCAGGTTTTAATAATGGCAAATCAGATCTACTGATAGAAATGAATTATTTAGGGTTCCAAATGATCAGACAAAAGATCTTCATCAGAATTATTTACTGCACAATAGAAACACTAAAACTACCAGGAGTACAGGATAAGATAGGACAGTGCTCTACACTAAAGCAATTCTTGAAGCAATTCTACTCAAGCTGGCACAAAAGCAATAATTCTTAATTAGAGATGGATGGAACTCCCCCACACCAATGCTCGTGGGGAGATCTCTGCTCTCCATCTCCAGCAGTGACCTTGGGAGGGTCCCCAGCCAAGGCAGGAACCTCCACACACCCCCCAGGAAGGGTTCTGTTGGCAGAACCTGCCCCTGGGAAAGGGGACTGCCCCTCTCTGGTAGAAAGGGATGGACTGACAGTCGCTGGACTCCAGGGGTTGCCTCACCATCAGGGGCTTCATTCGGGGTGGAAGCAGCGGCCAAAGCTCTTCCCGCAGTCGGGGCACTGGTAGGGTTTCAGTTACTGGTGGGTCCGTTGGTGTGAGGTCAAGTTACAGCTCTGGGTGAAGCTCTTCCCACACTCCCCACACTTGTAGGGCCTCTCCCCGGTGTGGATGCGCCGGTGGGTGATGAGGGTGAAGTTCCGGTTGAAGCTCTTCCCACAGTCGGTGCAGCGGAAGGGCCTCTCATCCGTGTGTGTCTGCTCATGAAAGAGAAGAGTTGAGCTGGTGTGAAACCTCTTCCCACATTCCAAGCACTTGTAGAGCCGTTCCCCGGTGTGGATGCGCTGGTGAGCATGGAGATGGGAGCTGTTCATGAAGCTCTTCCCACATTCTCCACATGTGTAGGGACGTGCCCCAGTATGTATGCGCTGGTGGGTATGAAGGTCGGAGCTGCTCCTGAAGCTCTTCCCACATTCCCCACACTTGTAGGGTCGTTCCCCAGTGTGGATGCGCTGGTGGGTGAGGAGGGTGGAGTTGTGCTTGAAGCTCTTCCCACATTCCCTACATGGGTAGGGACGTTCCCCAGTGTGGATGTGCTGGTGGGTGAAGAGGTGGGAGCTCTTCCTGAAGCTCTTCCCACATTCCAAGCACTTGAAGGGCTTCTCCCTGCTGGGAGGCTGCTCAGGGACCACCAGGTCACAGCTCCGCCTCAAGCTCCGGCTGCCTTCCTGGCACAGGCTGGGTCTTTCCTCCTCAGAGCACCCTGGGCTGCCTTTGGAGCCCCTCCTGCGAGGGGATCCTTGGGCCTTTTCCTCCCCGCTGCCTTCCTGCACCGTGGAGCCCTTCAAAACGGCCTCTCCCACCAGGGTCTGCCGGGGGGATTTGTCCTCCAGGCTCTCCGTCCTCAGCTCGGGGCCTGGGGCAGGAAGCAAGAAGGACAGGAAGGGGATTTGCCTCCGGCCCAGAGGGAAGGCCAAGGACATCCCCCCAACTCTGGCCCCGGCAGGACGGCGGTGGCAGCGGGGTTGTCCTGCAGCCGGGGGCCATGCTCGGCTGCCAGAGCCAGCACAACACCGGCTCAAAGGGCCACTGACTTCCTCCTCACCTGCCTGGGGGGCCCGTGGCATCTTCCTCTTCCTCGCAGCCTCCTCCTCCATCTGCCCAAGCTTTGGGAAGGACAAATCCTGATGGGGGAGGGGAAAACAAGGGCTGAGCATGTTGGCTTGGGGGTTCCTCCTGCCCAAGTCCATCTCTAGAACTCACCGGGCATCCTGTGACCATAAAAACCTCCAAAACACCAAGATTCAGCCCAGAAAAAACCCAACGAGGTTCAGGCAAAAAAACCCTCAGAAAAAGAGAGATGAACCCTCCCCCCAAAACTGAAAAAAGTTAAGGTTCAGCCAAAATATACTCCAAATTATGAAGATTAAACCAAAAATAAGATGTTTAATTGGTAGGATGAGGAGAGCAAAGTCATTTCATGAGCACCTGATTGAAGTGTTATATATTAATCAAAAGCTGTATTAATGTAGTGTCCCTTAAAACTCAATTTTTTTCTTCCTATTTTCAGTGTAGAGAATAAATATGAAATCACTGGACTTCAGGCCTGCATCATTACCCCTGTGCTTTGGTTTGCAAATCCTTCCTCATTCCACTTCTTCTCCCCTGCCATCATTTCTGACAACTGGACTCCTCTGCTGTGCTGTGCCAATATCCTGGGATGTGCGGTTTCCATGTTTGCAAGGATTAAAGGCAACTTTTTGCCTACCAGTGCCAAAGGCTGGTCTGTGAAGTTTAGTGTGAGAGGATCCTGGGCAATCAGACACTGAAATTGTTGAGCTAGAATGGGCCATGCAAATGGAATTAGAGAATCCATTCTGCTGGCCCAGACACAGAAGCCAATCTGTGGCTGTGGCTCTTTGCCTCGCTGGCACCATCCTCTGTGGTTCCTGCTGCCCACCACGGCACTGGCAGCCCCAGGGGCACAGGGACGTCCATCCTGTACATGAAGTCAGACTGTCCACAAGTGTTAGCAGGAGTAAAACAGTGCACTGCTGACCTTCTCGAATTTATCTCTGTTAATGTAGGACTTCACTTGGCCAATCTGTGTCACATTGCACAGCGTTATGTGGGTTTATGATTTTTAATATCACTGCACCAAATTAATCTGGAATGTGTAGTCAGAACAGTAATTACCTGTATTTGTGTATAACTGTGAGCCCTTCTATTTTTTATGCTTTCTGGCAAAATCACTGGCAACTTCTTTCACGAATACACGATGGGGAATGAATTTAACCCCCCAATAGGAAAGCGGTTTGATTTCAAGCTCTTCTTCAAGGGGCACCCTGGGATTGGAGCCTGGGCTCTAATTAACCTCTCCTGTGCTGCCACAGAACAGGAGCTGTATGGCCAAGGGACAAACTCTGTGATCCTTGTCAGTGTCCATGGTCCCTGTCAGTGTCCTTCAGGGAAATTGGGAGGAGGAAATGAAGAAACTGGTTTGGAACTAAACCCACGTTAAAGTGGGAAAAACCTCCTTCCATGGAAATAAGACTTAGACAGTTTTTCCTGGGCTGAACGAGCTCATTCAGGGATGAAGGACTGGGACTTCTGTGGACACTTGTGCTGGTTTCTTTGGACACTTGTGTTCCTTCAGAGAGCCCCTGGAAACACTCTGCTGTTCACTCCCAGTGCCACCAGTGCCTGGGTCCTGTCTGCAGCAGCAGATTGCAGTGGGATGGGAGAAATGCTTTTCTGAGCCTCTGGGCTGGACACAGGCACAGCCTGACTCTGAACCCAAGGGAAACAAAGACAAATTCCACGGCTTTAGCTGGAACAAGGGTGGGGGGGTTTCCTGAAGGCAGCACTACACCAGACTTTTGTGTGTGTGTGAGACAGGCAGAACCACAAATGCCTGCACAGCCCAGAGCAG